TTTTTTTTTTTTTTTTTTTTTTTTTTTTCCCTTTCTTTGGCTAATAATTATCTAGCACCCGATCCTGTGTAGCCGTCTTCGACCAGACATGCAGACCCGAGTCTGGATCCCTCGTGTGTTCGTACAGTTGTACTCCGTATGTGTTGGATGTTTGTTTGTGTGGGCTTCTCGAGGTGGGGGACGAAGGGCGGCTTGCGGGGTTGAACCACTATATCTACGACAGGCTGGGCTCCGGATCTACGATTGAAGCATTGCGACGTCCGCAACAGCCTCCTCCTACACTCTATTCTAGCATACGGAAAAAAGCCATGACGTGCTCTGAATCGTCCAAGCAGGCTATGATGTCAGGCTGGCAGTTCCAGAACTCCGATCAGCCGGTTCCCTCGCGCGAGGAGCTGGCCAGCAGCTTCACCATCAAAGCCCGGCCGTCCACCGACATCTGGGCCAAACCGCCCTCGACCCACCGCTTCAATGCCCCGATTCTCTACAGGACGATGCCTCTCGCGTCTTTCCAGAAGGCTCGCGTGCGAGTCTCAGCCAAGTGGACGACCCTCTACGATCAAGGCGGCCTGATTCTTGCCCTCAACCGGCGTGGTGGCGGACATAACTCCGACAACGACAGGAAGTGGATCAAGGCGGGCATCGAGTTCGTCGAGGGCATGCCGCGGTGCAGTACAGTTGCAAGAGATCGATGGGCGGACTGGAGCCTGTCTCCTCTGCCGCTGGCGGCCGGACAGAGCGCTGGCGACAGTGCCGGTGCCAATGATGAGGGTGACGGGGTCGGCGTGACGATCGAGATGGAGCGACGGGCAAGGGACCAGACGCTGTGGGTGTACGCTGTAGGCAAGGACGGTGTGAGGACGCCGATGAGGGAGGTGACCTGGCTGTTCGAGGACGAGGAGCAGCTCGAGTGCTGGGTCGGAGTGTACGTCTGCCGCCCGTCGTCGGCGCCCGAGCTGGGCGATCTCTGCGTGTCTTTCTCCCAGCTCGATATCTAGCTCATCACACCATCTTGCTATTAGTATCAGTATCAGTATCAGTATCAGCATCACATCTGCAATCTCTCTCTCTCTCTCTCTCTCTCTCTCTCTCTGTTTGTGTTTTGTTATTCAACGTTGGCCTCGGATCGGAACTAAACGGGCCTTTTTGCTATCAGATCCGATCAGAGCCGATGACTTCCTCTTTGGGCTTAGCCGTTACGTGTCTGCCAAGACCGTATTCCGCAGCACGCTAAACCGTAATAGGCATAACGGTGGAAGTGTAACCAATCGCACGCCGTTAAATGCTGACCTAAGCATGCATGGTCCTCCCCACCCTTGCGGCCTAATCTTATCATATCAGATCATCTTCTGTCTGCGCGGCGGGAGGCAAAGCCGTCGCTAGTTCGTCCGCAAAAACTCCAGGATACGTCGCATGGGGGCTTCCTTTTCTTCCCTGCGAAAGGGACGCATCTCAGTCCGGCGAGCTTCTGTCTTCATGCCAGCGACGCTCCTCTGCTGCGCATGCGCCGACTACCGCAAACAGAAAAAGACCTGTCCGCCGCTCCATGCTCGACCGACTCACGCCCGCCACGAGTCCTGTTGCTGAAAACGTGAAGGGCCGATCTGTCCAGCCAGCATCTGATTTGCGGAGACGCCTGCAAGCCTCATCTGACCAATTTTCTAGCCTCGTACCTGTCACTCCCTACGCTCGTGCAGCCTCAGCTTTCCTCGCACCCGGCCGGAGTCGTATATAAATAGTTTTTGCTGTCGCCGGGTGCAGGAAATGAAACACATTTCCGCCCTCCGTCCCTGTTCGAAATCGTGCCCCAGGCATTCTTCCTGAATCAGCTGCATAAATATACTCCGTACGGGGTAGTTCGTTAGGACCTTGCTGGTTGCAGCCTAATATCTGACTCAAGTGCGCAGATATTTATTTAGTTTGCATCCGGATAAGCAAAGGGGGTGACCTCCCCTTGACCCACGGGATACATAGATGGGTAGCTTTTATATATCCTTTACACTTGCACCCACACGACACCTCTCCTCTTTCGAGTAAGCCGGCGAGCACGGTCGGATGTTTTCGAACGAACCTAGCGGTACTTCGTGATTACGGTTAACGACTTCTACCTCATTCCTCTCCCTTCGTCTCCCTCTCTCTCTCTCTCCCTCTATCTCTCTCTCGTCCTCTTGTCTCTCCCCGCATTCCTTGGGTAGTGATGGGATTATATACCGGAACATTTCCGTCCTATGGTAGCTGCGAGCCAGAAGATAGGATGGACGACACAGCGGAGGCAGACCGGCTGCTGCAGGATACGGATGACGCCGAGGGGGTAGATGAACATCTGCATATCAGCCCTTACCCATCGTCATTGGATAGTGAAGTACAGGATGGCGTCCGAAAGATAGAAGCTATCAGCAAGACATGGACACAGAGGTCTTTAGTAATTGCATATCTTGGGTAGGTGGCTTACTCCAGTCTAAAAGTGTGACACAAGAATCATCCCCAGCTAAAACAGTGTATGCATATTATAGAATCATGCTTATGGCGTTCTGCACCTCCCTTGAGGTCCAAACAGTGGCCTCCCTAACTGCCTATGCTACAAGCTCCTTTAGCAAACACTCCCTGATTTCAACAGTCCTGGTTATACAAAATGTGGTTAATGGTTAGTCCCCTATCTTCAACTGAAGCCATCAACTGCTGACTGGGTCCCTTTAGCTGTCATAAAACCACCTATGGCCAAATTTGCAGATGTCTTTGGTCGCTTTGAGGCATTCTGTATCGCTGTTTTTATCTATGTTCTTGGATACATACAGATGGCTGCTTCACAAAACGTTGAGACCTATGCCTCTGCCCAGATATTTTACTCTGCGGGATCTACTGGACTACAGATATTACAGCAAGTTTTCATTGCAGATAGTAGTAATCTGCTGAACCGAGCAATATTTGCTAATCTTCCCGATATACCCTTTTTATTTACCGTTTGGCTCGGACCGATGATTGCATCTTGGGTGCTCAAGCAACTCAATTGGAGGTGGGGATATGGCATGTGGGCTGTACTTCTGCCGTCAGCATTCCTCCCCTTGGCTTTATCATTATACATCAACCAGAGGAAGGCCCAGAAATTGAACCTGCTAAAGTCCAAACCATGGAAGGGTAAAGGCTTGAAGAAGGTGCTTCGCAGCGCATGGTTTGAATTGGATGTATTTGGTCTGATTTTACTATCTGCGGCGGTGACCTTGATTCTTGTCCCCCTGACTTTGGCTGCCCATGCAAAGGATACCTGGCGGAACGGAGGTATCATTGCCATGATTGTTATTGGAGGCGTATGCTTGATAGCATATCCATTCTGGGAGACATCCAAACGCCTTGCACCGCACCCCTTGCTATCGTTGGGCCTCCTCCGCCAGAGATCGGCCCTTGCTGGATGTGCATTGGCTTTCTTCTACTTTAGTATGTCTCCCCTTCGCACCATAACCTCTATTCTGGTTTAAAACTTACTAACATTCCTTACCAATAATAGTGGCTTTTTATTTCTCTGTTCAGCCTTATTTCTACTCTTACCTGCAAGTGGTGCAAGGAAAACCTGTTGTCACCGCGGGGAGAATCACCCAAACCTTCTCTTTCATGTCCACAATTGCAGCCCTCGTCGTCTCCTTCATGATCAAATACTCAAAAAGATACCGTCCGTTTGTTACTTTCGGCTGTGTCGTTTACATCCTCGGACTGGCCTTGATGCTGCTCACTCACAAGTCTGGAAAGTCCACACTACAAATACTTGTTGTCCAATCCATTATTGGTCTAGGCGGTGGGCTCGTTAATGTCCCCGTTCAACTCGGTGTACAAGCTTCAGCAAATCACCAACAGGTAGCTGCAGCTACTGCTATGTTTCTTACTGCCCTCGAAATGGGCGGAGCTGTGGGGTCTGCTGTATCAGGTGCCATCTGGACTAGTTATTTACCACATAAACTAGTGAAATATCTCCCAGATGAAACAAAGGGAGAAGCTACTGAAATCTTTGGAAAGTTGACCAAAGCCCTATCATACCCAATGGGCTCGCCAACTAGGGATGCCATCATTCGCTCTTATGAAGAAACTATGCAGATTCTTTTGACGATTGCCCTTTGCGCTTGTATACCTTTGATCCCGTTGAGCTTGCTCATGAAGAACTATGAGCTTGATAAGGTATGTCCTCTTTGCTTACCCTTGCTTCTCTTTCATGTTTGAACAGAATCCCTAACATTCTCTTCCGCTCTATAGGTCGATCAAAGAGTCAAGGGTAAATTGATAGGAAACATCGGTGATAGCGATGATGCATCTCCTGTAACCCCAGAGTTAAGTGCATTCCCTCCTCCCAACCTGAGGCCGACGAAACGACGCTCCCAACACCATCTCCGGCCTTGAAAAGGCGTTTTTTCCTATTCCAGCAAAATTTTTCGTCTTAGCATTGGTGGCGACTGCTCTTCCACCGGACTTTATGATTTATACTCGTATATGAGTGAAGAGCGAAAGCAAATCCTCCGGGGATTATTAGGATAAAAATAATCTCCATACTAGTGAGCAGACCGGATACTTGATAGTTTCACGACCATTTGTTGCATCCTGCTCTTCACATGTTTTATTTGGGCATTTCCGGTGTTCTATTATATTTGGCTATTTATTGAAATCAGATAGACATGTGTATATAGACCTGTTAGGGCTATCCGAAGTGTAAGATACGCACCATTTACGATCTTAGGCTCATCATTACTTTCCACATGGCTCCAGAGGTTGAATGTTTCCACTTACTACAAGATAAAGAAAGAATGCAACATTGGACGAGAGAGGAGGCTCTATACTGTGTGGAGATAAAGTTCCTAAACTACAGATCCTAGGCTTTCAGCCTGGCATTGTTTTAAGTCTCTTTTCCAGCTCAGATCTTCTTAAACCTGAGCGGTTGGTTAGGTAGTGAAGGGTACAGGTCCTTCCTTTTCTCGGGGGGAAGCAGTATACCATCCCCATCTAGCCATACATCATCCAATGACACACTGTATGTACTAAAAATTCTGGCAATGATCAATCGACTCATAGCCCAAGCAACACTACCCATGTAAAGATATTGGTTAGTATTCGATGTCTACCAGGAAAGGAAGTCGATCGACAGTAACTTACTTCATTCCAGTACACATTCTCGCTCCAGAGCCGAAAGGCCAAAATGAACGCTGCATCTGACGGTATTCGTCAGATTTTGGGGAGATTTCCCATCTCTCTGGCTTCCACTTCTCGGGGTCTGGGTACGGGTTAGGGTCTTGGTGAAGAGTGTACGATTGAGATGCAATGTTGGTCTAGACCATCGATGTTAGCTGCGTTTGAGACACCTTGAGTATGAATGGAATGATCATGGCATACTCCTGGCTCTATCTTGAAGCCCATCACAGTTAGGGCTTCATCGTCTTTCACTACTCTTGGCAGCTGTATCGGAATTGGTGGATTTGTGCGTAGTGTCTCTTTAAGGATACAGTTCAAGTACGGAAGCTTTTGCAGGGTCGAGAGGTCTGGATGTTCCCCGGGCTTGATACCCGCCTCATGAAGCTCCTGACGGAGTTTTTCTTGAGTAGCTTCATTTTCAGGGAGGGAGAGCCGCCAAAGCACAGCACCAAGAAGATCGTTCGTCGTCCGAGTACCTATGTATGATGCCATGTTTAAGTATTGTTTAAATGGCCTATCAAGAAACTTGTATGCATATTTCCTTGGGGGCTTACCAGCCATGAAATGATCCAAGCAATCGCTAGCAATATATCTTTTGTCCGGTATTTCAGGACTAGGTCCTTCGCTATGGAAAAGTCCCACAAGACGACTAAGATGTGTAGTGGGCGAGTCATTTATTTCACTTGCCTCTTTTTTGGCTTGGTTCGATAGAGCGGTCTCTACCTGTTTCATTCCGAATTCTGCCATCGCTGATTTCTCGGGGAAAAAAGCTCGAATTCGTGAAATAGCCCCTGTCGAGGTAAGTGTCAAAATAAGGCAAAAGAATTAGGCTGTGGGAATATACTGACTTGGGTATAACGTTGCTATTGCCTCTAATGCGGTAGTGTTAGATGCACTTGTTTTAGGAACAAGTTCGGACATTGTGTCTCTCGACCCTTTGTCTGCCAGGAGTCTAATGGTGTGCTCATTCCCATACACCAAGCGAATCATGATATCACCAGTGAGCCATATTATCCATTCTAACCCGTTTGTCACCCTAGACGGTGAGCTAGAGGCTTCATGCTCAACCATTTCCATGAATTTGTTAATGTATGTCCTAAAAATCGCTTGGTAGGCTGCCCCTGCGACAACCGGGGCAGAATACAAGCTGAAAACATGTCTTCGCCGAGAAAAGTGAAGATCACTATTGAGTGTGCTGACTAGGTTTTCGGAGTTATATTGGCGCAGAGTTGATAGTAAGATGCCCCCATTCAACCCGCGTGGGCCATGGTAAATTGTCCGCAATGCATCTGGATGACAAACAGATACACTATTTGGCGCTATCCTGACAACGGGCCCATATCCTAGGTGTAATTTATGGATAGTCTCCCAAACCCGACCAGAATCTACAACTTTGGTGATCAGTACTTGGAAAGAAAAGTGTGACTTGACTTATGAAAGTGAATTAACACGAACCTCGCAGAACATTATACTGGATCCATAAATTGCTGAACTTGGCAAGGTTCGGCCCTGGAATAGGTGACCAGATATTCTGAACAATGCGTTTGGTGGCCGTTAACATAATCCAAACTCCCCAAGGCAGAAGTAAAGTTACTAAAAGCCTCAGAAGATCAAAGCTGGAGCCAGACGAGATCATAAGTAAAGGGTTAGTGAAACGAGTCGTTATTTGGGATGAAGGGTACCATAAATCCAGAATGTAAAAGTGGGAAGATGAATTGATGGGCATCACTGAGAAGGTAGTGTCAATTGTAACCGGAATATGTGCCCAGACACATCATAGTATATGATAGGACAGTGGATAGTTTCCAGTTGGGAATATCTAACGTGCTGAATAGCTGAGGCCAAAATATATATCTTGCTTTCCCGTGTCCCAAACCAAGATGGTAGAGGTATGAGCCCGGAGTGCAGCATTTCGGCCTCCGAGGATCCCGCAATAGTACATGAATCTCTCCGTCTATTTTCCAGATATGATACAACAATCGCTTGTTGATACGCGTTTTCGCCAGATATGGTCAAAAAGGGGAGGAAAAGATTGCACTAACCAGATTCGTCTATTTTCTGGAGAAATGGCCCGTGCATTTGGAGTCACGTGCCGAGCTTTTTTCAACTTCCTTCTTCCTCGACGGGTATAAAGAGAAGACGAGGAGGACAAGATGAAAGGACAACACACTGAACGACGTTGGAGTTGGCAAGGGACATGTTCTCAAGCCTGATACGGGAAAACGGGGCGAGCGACTAAGTTAACTAGTCTGGTCGTTAATACGATCGCCTTGAAATAGCCTCATCCAGCCACAGCCACTGCCCATGAGGCTCAGCCCGCCCTCTTTCAGCCTCGCGAAGGAGGAGCCCAAGCGGAGGCTGAAAATGGATGACTCTCTACCCCTCTCCCGTGTTGGCGTTGCTGCCTATAAAACGCGGGAAATCTTGCAGAATGGATGTGATATTTACTGAATGTCACAAAACTCCCCATTTTTCCTTCACAACAACTCTTCGTTACTCAATTTCTCTGTTCAATTATAACTAACTAGTAGACAATATGACTACTAGTTCTAGTGATGATGGGTTTGAGATTATCGACGGCAAGCAGATTCCCTTTCGGCCTGCTAGCGCTAGCACGGTCACTATGGAAGAGAATCTGACGCAAGAGCCGATACTGAGCATACACTCCATTCCCAACAAGGATTCTATGATCGTCTCCATCCAGCCTCCTCTCAAGCCAGGGAACGATGTCCCACATGTTCCTTGCGACATCGTTCTTGTGATTGACATTTCTGGGAGTATGAATTCCGCAGCTCCTATACCAACTGGTGAGAAAGGCGGCGAGGACACTGGTCTGAGCATATTGGACTTGACGAAGCATGCCGCCAAAACAATCATCGAGACACTCAATGAAAAGGACAGGCTTGCAGTGGTTACTTTCTGCACGGAAGTTAATGTAAGGACGATATAATCTGCTCCATTAAGTTCAGCTAGTGCTAACTATCTACTTTCATATAGGTTGCTTTTGAGCTTGATTACATGAATAAAGAGAATAAATCAACTGTGTTAAGCGCCGTTGACAAGCTTTATGGCAAGAGCTCAACCAACTTATGGCATGGGATAAAAAAAGGCCTCAACGTCCTCGCCACGAATCCTGCCCAGGGGAAGATACAGTCTCTTCTTGTCTTGACGGATGGTGCATACCCCTCTCTTTTTACTTTCGTCCTGCTCGCGGAAACTAATTATTCGAATTATTCGCACCAGGTGCTCCCAACCATATGTGTCCTGCCCAAGGATATGTTCCCAAATTACGCCATACTCTATTGGACCACCATAACTTAACAGGAACCTTACCACAGATCCATACATTCGGCTTTGGGTACTACCTCCGCTCATCACTGTTACAGTCCATTGCTGAAATCGGCGGTGGGATCTTCGCTTTTATTCCGGATGCTGGTATGATTGGTATGTATAGCTTGGTCTAGTGAAATTAATAAGAATATAACTAATGATGGACATAGGAACTGTGTTTGTCCATGCTGTTGCAAATTTATATTCAACATTCACAGCACAGGCAAAACTTATTCTTCAGGAGGATCCTTCGTCAGAGCTAAGTGTGGATTTAGGAAGCAGACCTGGCTTGGAACTAGAGACGCCAGCTGGCAATGGAATATCACTGAGGCTAGGAAGCCTTCAATATGGCCAGTCACGGGATATTATTATCCGTTACAGTAAAGCATCGAAGAACCGCACAGTTAATATACGAGGCAAACTTGTTTATGCCGTTGATGGCGAGACTAAGGAGGTCCAGGTGCAGAAGGTGGTCAACATCGATGAGATCTCAGTACCTCAGGCTGTGAGCGACTACCATTACATGCGCTCAAGGCTTTGTACACTTCTAAGGACTTTCCACCCACTTGAGGATACCGCAGAGAACTTCAGTTTCTCCTTGAGGGGCGTCGAAGAAATGCGAACGAAGCTAGAAAGCCTGGCTACTGAAATCAAAGGTCTCGGTCACACTGATGATTACAACCGGAGCATTATTGAGGATATCGCTGGTGAATCACCACATGGACAAATAGGCATGGCATTGTCATCCCCAGAGTTCTATCACCGTTGGGGTGGGCACTACCGTAAGCATCACCTAAGTTTCTCAATTATTCTTGACTCTACTAATATTTTCTGAAAGTCCTCTCAATTCTCAATGCACATGTAAACCAAATGTGCAATAGCTTCAAAGACCCAGGCCCATTGATGTACGGCAAGGCTTCTCCCCTGTTCTGTAATTGTCGGGCCGAGCTGGACGGAGTGTTTGACAACTTACCACCTCCTAAGCCATCACGGCCGTCATCCTCGGGAGCACCCCACCGTCCAGTACGTATGTCTCAATATAACAGATCCAGTGGACCGTGTTTTACAGGAAACTGCCATATCCGAATCTCCAGCAAGGAAAGTGAGCTTATCAACGCTACCATTTCTCTCGAGAATCTTCGCCCCGGCATGTCAGTATGGACTCCACACGGACCGCGGGAAGTTAGGGCTGTCCTGCAAACTAGCGTGAACCACATCGACATCTGCAAAATCGGCACACTCCAGATCACTCCATGGCATCCAATGCGAATTCAAAATGAATGGGAGTTCCCTCTCAATGTGACCAAAGAAGGTCTTCAATACTTTTCCGGAGACATCTATTCAGTGTTACTTGAACCTGATTCTAACTCCGAGGCACATGCCATTATGGTAGAGAACCACATCTGTGTCACTCTGGGTCATGGAATTTTGACTGGAGAAGATGTTCGCGCCCATGAGCTATTTGGTGACTACCAGTTGGTTTCAAGGAAGCTAGAATCGCTTCCAAAACTTCCTAATGGGTTGCTACACAGCATCGGGGTCGAACGGTCACCTGAGTCAGGCCGCATATGCGGATTCATCGGAGGAGACCGCCTTCTCAAAGCCCTTAATGTACCCTGCAAAATTGAGGGAGATCACCAATGTGGTGGAAGCTATGTTAAGGTTACTGTTTGATTAATTTGGTGTGGCTCATTGGTGTTAATTAACTAGTTAACTAGTTAGCTGAAGGCTGCTAAGCCGTATTAGGAAATATACTTCATTGGCTATTTGCACCCCCCTCGAGCATTGAAAACTTTCGACTCTCAAATATAACGATCATGCAAAGGATTGAAATCAATTATTATTAAAGACTATGAATTATGAAGGTCCTGGAAAGGGTTTGATGTATTTATCCGTGAATATCAGAGTTAATTAATCCGCTCTCGGTCTTCGGAGCTTCGACAATAGAGTTGGCAAGGATGCGGCTGAAAGATATCCGGCTTCTTGCAAGGTATGTATCTCAGCCACTGTGAAACGATGTAACTTGCCATGCTTTAGGCTCAAGTTACACCAAGAGCGTAACTAAACGTGATATGGTTCTTAAATAAGCATAAAAATATCCTGATTAGCTAGTGAATTTATGTTCTAAATATAACAAATGCGGTTGTCGCTGCAGACTGCTGATGATAAACTACAAACAAAAATGCAAATTTTGAGACATTATAGTGACAGGAGTGACGAATTGTGACTAGAAGGGAGAGGTATATTTTTAGCTCGTCCTTTTTTAGGGCGAGCATGGGTATCATGCTTCACGGTCGAGGCTCTGGGCCTTGCACATTTCAAAGTATCGGCCCTTCCGCCTCAATAACTCTTGGTGGGTACCTTGTTCCACAATCTTGCCAGCTTCGAGCACGAAAATTGCATCATAATCTTGGACGGTGCTGAGTCGATGAGCAACGGCAATAGTGGTTCGGCCTCTCTTGGCGTGTTCCAGGGCAGCTTGAACAACACGTTCACTTTCGGTGTCGAGGGCACTTGTGGCTTCATCCAGGAAGAGAAAGTCTGGGTTTCGAAGTAAGGCCCTTGCAGTGGCGAGACGTTGCCTTTGGCCTCCACTGAACGAAAGGCCGCGGGATCCGGCCTCGGTATTGTAACCTTCCGGAAGAGAAATGATGAAGTCATGGATATTTGCGTCCTTGCAGGCTTGGTGAATTTCTTCATCGGGGACATCTCGGGTAACACCGAGAAGGATGTTTTCCCGAATTGTACCTTGGTACAGCGTGGTCTCTTGGGACACCAGGCTGGCGGTTTCACGGTATTTGGTCACATCAATATCAGTCAATGGTTTTCCGTTAATCAGGATATCTCCAGAGGTGACGTCGTAGAAACGTTCGAGAAGAGCAATCATAGTTGTCTTCCCACATCCGGAGGGCCCTACAAGACCCACATTCTGGCCGTGACGGATTTTTAGGTTAATTTTCCGAAGGACAGGCTGGTCAGGACGAGTGGGATAGCTGAATGACACGTTTCTGAACTCCACAGCCACATCTGAATCCTCTGTAGATGCGGGCTCTTCACCAGTTGAACCATTGATCGGAGCGACCTGTCCTCGAAGATGTATGATATGATTTGCAGCAGCATGAGCTTTGGTAGTATCTAAAATGGGCGGGTCAGTTTATCATCTTCAAATCAGTTCGCAGGAATGAACCTACTCATTGTGAAGCCAAAAATGAATCCGGCAGCCTGTCCGCCAAAAATCACCGCGATGAAAATGACGAAAAACTGCTGGGCATCGTATTCGCCATATGACATCAATCTTCCACCATACCAGAATGCCAGCGCCATAGCTATTAATAATGTCAGCAGAGAACAACAATTAGAGGCGTACTGTACGCAGACAGAGGAAGCTTACCGGCGGTATCGACACTATCCGAGAAGCCGAAGAATATCATCGCAATGGTAGTGTATTTTAGAGACCTGGCCACTGGTTTTTTCAGTCTATCGCCGTAGTTGTTGTATACAGTAGGCTCCAATGTCAAAGATGAAACAGTACGAATGGAGTTGACGGCCTCAGAAGCAAATCGCGCACTTTCCAAGTATAGTTTGGCGTTCTTATCCTGGGCCTGCATCTCCATCCTCATGCGGATGAAGCCAGCTAGGAAGAGAGGAGGGAGGCACCCAAATAGGGAGACAAGCGCTAATCTCCAGCCAGTAACAAGAGCTAGGAGGGAAACAGCGAGAAGGCTGACAATAACGATTAGGATGAGGCCAATGTTGGACGAGAGAAGGTCCTGCAGGTTCTGAGGGTCAGTTGATAGGCGTGCAGTAAGGCTGCCAGAGGAATTAGCAGGTTTATCAAAGTATGCGATATCCTGCGAGATCATGGCCTTGAAGTACTCGCTGCGGTAGAACTTTGACGAGCGGAAGGCGGCAACTGTCAAGAAGAATCCGATTGACGCATACGTCAGGAGAATACAGAGTGCAAGGACGAAGAACATCAATGCCCAGAAATTTCCTTCCTTCTGCCACTGGTCTCTCGGTAGCTGGAATGCAGTCACAATTCTAGAAAAGAGAATGGCTTGGGCTGGGAATGCACCACCACCGACGATGGAGGCAAGGCCTCCTAGGAGGAAGAATAGCCAATGGCGTCGTTGTTCATAGAAAATAATCAGAAGGCATTTGAATAGTGAGAATTTTCGAGCCACATCCTCCGACTCGGCGGCAACTTCATGGGGGACGTTGCTGTGAGTTGATTTGGTAGTTGCGTGCTTCTCCAAAATCTCGGTTGGCTGTGCATCAGTTTCCTTATCGGTATCGGAAGAAGAATCGTCACTCGCAAGAGAGAGGCTTTGAGCATTCACCAAACTCCAGTACTGCCCCTTTGTATCTAGGAGCGACTCGTGAGTCCCCTGTTCGATAACTTGGCCTTTGTTCATGACAATGATGTTATCCGCCTTCTTGACAGTCGAAAGCTTGTGGGCGATGAGCACTGTTGTTCTGGTCTGAGAAACTCTATCTAGAGCAGCTTGAACAATAGCTTCAGCAGTAGGATCCAGAGCGGAAGTTGCCTCGTCCAGCAATAGGATAGGTGGGTTGGAGATAATGCTACGAGCAATGGCGACTCTCTGTCGTTGACCACCACTGAGAAGACTTCCTCTCTCGCCGACAACAGTATCGTAACCCTTGGGAAATCCTTGGATGAAGTCATCTGCATTAGACTCAATGCAGGCTTGTCTGACGAGCTCTCTCCTCTTCTCCTCATCCATCCGGGCTATTTCATCAGGTGGCAGTCCATAGAGCACATTAGTGTAGATAGTGTCGTTGAATAATACTGGTTCCTATATGGATGTTAGGATATCAAATTAACTTGCGGTTTAATTTTTGAAGGGAGAAGGGATGCATACCTGCTGAACCAGTCCAATCTGGCGTCTAAGCCACCCAACGTTCAGATCCTTAATGTCTACGCCATCCAAAGTGATAGAACCACTGGCGGGATCATACCACCGCTCGAGGAGTCCAATAATTGTGCTCTTGCCACTGCCGCTAGCCCCAACAAGAGCAGTGACCTTACGAGCGGGTATCTTCAAATTGACCCCATCTAGGACCCTAATGGTAGGTCGGGCAGGATATGAGAAAACTGCGTTAGAGAGTTCCAGGTCACCTTTGACACTGCTGGGCTTCAGGCCCTCGGTGCTGAGTGAATCAATTTCTGGCACCCTGTTAATCATGTTGAGAACATCGTTGGCAGCAGCACCGGCCTTAGTGAACTCTCCTAGCGTAGGTGCAATCATGGTGAGAGATGAAGTACCGATTACAATAGAGAATAAGACCCTACCACATCATTTAGTATCAAAACGTATAGAAAGCAAACAGATAGATATGGAGTGACATACGTGAGAATATCTCCTCCACTTCCGATCTTTCCCTGAAGCAAAAGCTTGATACCGTACCAAAAGGCCAAGGCATAGGCACAGTACATGATGAAGAATTCCGAGCTGTACTGTACGCCGAGAACAGGCCCTTTCTTGACACCGAACCCTTTGGCAGCCTCAAGATGATTATCATACTTCTTGCTTAGACGGTCTCCGGCACCAAAGGCAACAACAACACGGATGCTGCCTAGTGTTTCTTCGACGAGACCTCCAGCCTTGGAGTAAATGTCAAGTATTTTTGCTTCAAGTTTAGCGTCTAGGGCAACAGTAATGCCAACTAGCGTGACAGCAGTGGGTATTGAGGTAGCCACGGGAAGTGTCAGCCTCCAGCTCTGGGTAAAGGCAACGACAAAGGCGGCTATCAGCATGGCAACACCCTGGCAGCAGGTGCCTACTTTCTCAGACATGCCTGTCTGGATGAGGTTTGCGTTATTCGAGATACGAGTTGCAACAGAGCCTGGCGTATAGGTGTCAAAGTAGGCCATCTCCTGGCGGAGAATGGCGCGGATATACTGCAGACGCAGCTTCCGGACGCATCTTATGGCAGTGATATTGAAGCATATGGTATGTATGTAGACGAGCTTGTTTTGTGGATATCAGCAGCGCCCCTTGGATGAGACTTGAGAAGAAGGAATACTTACAGCAAACTTTCCGATGAAGAGATAAACAAACCAGAGCCTAATTTGAATATGTTAAAATACGTTCTCCAGTACCACAATGGAAAGATATAGCCTCTACTCACGCATTCTTTGATATCTGGGCCCTGAAGTCGTCTCCGGAGATCTTGCCAACGCCAAAGTCATTGAAGATATTGACAAACTTGCCAAAGATGATAGTCATAAGAGGCAAAGCCTACGATAAGGTCAGCTAGCGTCTTTAATAGTAGCTAATAATGTAGGTAGAAGTTGGAAACTTACAGTCCCTGATGCCACGGCAGCGAAGAAGCCGCAGATACGAAGAACCACATCTATCGGCTCACACCAAGCCCATAATTTCTAGATATGATTTTTAGCTGCTGCTGGCATAGTTGTATATCACAATTGGCAGCGGAGATACTCACCACATAGGCACTGAAGCCCTGCTGGGGAGCTTCCTGCTTCTGCTGCTCTGCGTCTGGGACGTCGACTATGCCGTCTGTCTCTTTCTTGGGAGCTTCTTCGCCGAGCGAGCCAGCTTCAGTCGGCGCCCTTGTATCCAGGCCACCTTCGCCGTCCCGCAGGACTGCCACGACCGGCTGTAGCTCCCCAGTCATGAT